CACACCACGTACCGTTGCATATGTGACGGCCTGACAGCGAAAGTTTCCAGAAACCTTCAACTTTAACATTTGGAGCAGCCCGGCACCACCAAACCCTTAACATGCAAAATGTCAGGAGTGAAAGTGTACAGACATATACAATGGGCCGTGACATTTGTGTTCGGCAATAAAAGGGCAAAGGTCGCGATGTAGCTGAACCTGTTGGATCCCCGGGCGTATCCAAGTGTAATGAGGCCTTCCGGACTGCAGGGGAGAAGTGCTTTGCCGCGTACGGCAGATAATAATCCCATTAAATAATGCGCAATCTTACGCATTTAAATCAAAGTTATAAAAGCGAGCCACATGAAATAAGCCCGCGTGAAAGTAAAATGGCTTGCATGATAGGACATACACATAACATGACACACATGAAATTAATATGGCTCACATGATATGATATGAGATATATATATATATATATATATATATATATATATCCATTCAACAAAAATTTACGCGTACCGCAGGCTTGCAATTTAATGATAAGAATGCACGTGTCGGTTTTAATAACAGCACATACATTTTCAACAACACAGTTACAGCAAACTCGGCCACACCATTATTTGTGCGGCGCATTTCATGCTTTTCATTGAAGCAGCTTAGTTTAGCCACGATACAATATAAATATTGATCGATGTAAATTGTTTATAATGAGTTTCTGATCGTCATTGAGTATTTCGGAATATAATTGATTGTGATCATGTTGATAACAATTGATGACGCCATGAACAGTTAGATTAGAAAAATTATGGTACTACGCAAAATTCACGCCAACATTTTCGCACAGCCGCTCGCAAGCCGCACAAAAAATCGAAACTTCAATACACCATGGCTGTTTTACACGGACGCTGCGTTCTATATCCGAGGACAACAAAAAATGAATTATGTTATGTAACTTGGCTGAATGACTTAACCTCAAACCCCGCAACTGGATCCATTAACATTGCAGGATGTTTACCGCCCCATAGACAAGAAAAATGTGTTTGTCATATAGAGCAGTGCACTTAACAACACAAGAACACCACTTTCCTCATGATAAAAAGTCGTGTTTGCTCTCACCACCACATACAAATAGTAACTGTCGAACGGATAAACGATGGCGTGTGCTTGACGCACGTAGAACCAAAAGACGCACAAAGTTTTGAAATGTTAAACTGAATAGCTCCGCAGCATGGGAAAGACCTAAGCCATTCATGAATAAATAACCTATTCCCCGCCTTTAAACCAAAGATACGTGCCACCGTCCATGGGTGCCATATAATAGCGTCTTCGGCACCGTAACGCGCCCTGTAGAGGGACGCTTTTAATTTTCGCTCGGAAGGTGCACGTGTCTCAAGTGCTCCCCTCTTCTTTCTTGATCCACCCCTGCATGACTTCTATGCTGCTTAAATTAAATACTTTTTGGTTGTATGAAAATGAAATATGAACAGCCTCTCGTCAAGTGAGTTAAAGTCGAGTGGGTAAAATCCGTTTAGAAAAATAGGGAGGGAGGGGTGGATGAGTCTAGGTCGTTTGGCTCTTGGCCCGGCCCACCAATTCTTTACAAAAATTGACGCCCCTGCACGTGTCTCAAGCAAGACAGATCAACATGTGCTTCAGCCAGAGTTGCTTTGATCAGCATGCAAAATCCAATGAATGATTAGATAGTTGGAAAATCATGATTGTGATATAGAGATAAATTGTAGAATAATCTAAGAATAATGCATAGGTTCACAATAAGGAGCCAAATGCATTCTGGTTTCTAACAAACATGGGCTTATCATATAAAATTCGGATAGCCTAAATTTGTCCTTAATCAAGTGCACTGTAAGAGGCGGAAGCAAATATCACAACTTTTTAAATAGCGGGACAAACTGTGTTTTTCTTTGGGCAGTTTCGCTCTGCATAACAAAATTTCACTCTATTTTCAAGAACCAACTGATTTTGTTTCAAACACGGCTTGCATATGGAATTTCTACAAACGGAGCGTCTAAATGTAGAAGGATATTGAATATGTGAATGCATTATTTGGATATAAGACAATACTACAGTTAACCCTCGCTCTGACAGGGGTTGACGCAACCCGTAAGTTTTTTGAGGAAAGCTCTCCGGCATGCTGTACAATCGCACCAATTTTTTTAGCAGCTTATGAGGCATTCACTGCGCGTGTTTTGACATGAAAAACATTCTCACACCTTTTCTGATGGTTTCGGTGGCTTTTTGGGGAACAATGTACGGCGATTTACGGCCGGCGCGGGCAGCAGGCGGCAACTGACGATGCCACAGAACAAGCGCGGCGGGCCGACATTGTTATCTGAACGGAGCCATATGTCATAAAAATATGCTCAAAATGCATGAAAATTGATATCACCGTACTCAGAATTAAATAAGAAATGCGCCTGTGGATTTTCTCTGTCACCACGAGCAATGGCCTGGTAGGTATGATGTTGTAAAGCTGAAAAGTGCGATTTTCTGGAGACTTTGACCCTTGAACTGGCACATGCCGTCAGTTTTTGGCTTAGCGATTTAAAAATTAGTACCGATCGCGAGATCTCGTTGATATCAATCGACTGCTGCTTTTTTGCCAACTTCTATCTTTTTCAGCTTGTAAGCGGAAGGGCGGGGTCGCATCGACCCCCTTGCAGTTCGCGTTGTGAAGAACGGCGAATCAGGGCAAGGGTTCAATGGAGTGTTCTATGTTTGTGTGGGGTTTTGAACTGAAATATCCATCTTAGAGGTCATCCGGTAGAGCTCACAGCCCTGTTCTTCTTAAGTCCTAAATCTCTAGTTTTTTAGCTATACACCCGCGACGATGCGCAGACTATTTTTTGCAGATTTTTTCAAGGCCACCGAGGCAACCATAACGCCATAATAACGTCATTCAAATCCTACTTTTCTATTAGCCATGCGGCGATCAAGGCCAATGAAAATATAATTGTCGAGTTGCTCCTTTCCGGCATTCGTGAACATGCTAGCCATATATAACGGCCGTCAATTGGCTCTTAATCAATGTTGTGTTAGGTACGATGACACAGTCAAACAACGACGCATTGGTAAGCTTATGTACTAAAAAGAGAGACTGTGTTGCCTAGAGCAGTCTTTTACACCTTAAAGTGTGCCAGTAGCTATAAGTTAGTTCAGTTCATTATGAATGATGCTTGTATGCATGCATGTATGCATCATGTATGTTTGATATACTCAAGTGTAAAACATTCCTTTTCAGAACTATATAATAAATCCAGTACTCATGCTATATCTGTGATTTCTGTGATCCTCCCAGATCGCTACACCAATTGGTATAACGTTAAACATGTGAATTAACGTACAAATAACAAAAATAAACAAAGCCGCACGCCACGTGCTAAACCCGTGTCCAGATATGTTCTCTATACGCGTCAATTTAAAAGCCGGTCTGTCACTATAGCGCCAGTCACTGTGTAATTTTATATTTTGCGTGAAGATGCAGAGGATCGTCGTCAGCCTGCTTCCTCAATGTAAGGAACACAGTTACCAGCACGTCCCGGAAAGTGTGCCTAGCGCGAAAAACGTAAACTTAAAGGACATAAATAAGAAATTGATACTCACCGGTCTGACGGGAAGCCCGCTTGATGTCGAAATTCTGGTACTCAGCCGTCGATTTTGGTGGCGTTTGGTGGATTTTGGGTGCGTGTGCCAGTGTCGGTGGTATGCTGTCGCATCGTGCAGACGCTATCTGGCAACTAAGGTGCACCATGTCTGTCCAACATTTGCCTCGGTCGTCTGTGCCACGGTACATTCGAAAACTACCGTCAAAGTGAATTTTAGTTACATACATCGGCCTCGAGGATATTCTCTTTTTTCACTGCCTCGAGGTGATCCCTGATCATCAGGTCAAGTACTCGGGGACGGCTGAGTCCCTGAAGCCTCGAAGTGACCCCTGACAATCAGGCCCAGTACTCATGGACAGCTGAGTCCCTGAGCCTCGAGATTATCCTTGATCATCATATCGAGTACTCGGGAACAGCTGAGTCCCTGAATCTCGGGATGATCCGTGATCATGAGGTCGCGTACTCGAAGACAGCTGAGTCCCTGATCTCGCGTCTGACGAATCGCGTCTGGTTTTCGATGTTTATCGACATCGAAAACCAGACACGGTGTATCTTCGAATTACGTGAGGGCACCATGATAACCAAAACACACAGTTGCACTTGCTTCTGCACGTTACTTGCCTGCAGAGATAGCCGTCTGCCGGTATGATCAACCGACCCTCATCATACACCTGCATCTTTGGAGCGCATATCCTTCATTCGCCACAAGTCCCATCACACCGCCCAGGGCACTGTTGTCAAGCCAATGAAGTCGCGGCGGTCATAAGCCCGATAGCACGGTTACGTTGCGCGCACGGCATCCGGGCGACGCCGCTTTGGTCTCCCGTTTATGGCCCGGGTGGCGGCTTATCGAGGCGCTACATCGCAAGCCGCTGCTTTGTTCTGTCACCGTACTGACTGCGCAGCATGGCTATGACTTGTCATAGCGCGGAGTGGGTGTCTGCCGATCGATATCCTGCACGGTCCTGTCGGTCCTGTGGGCGCAGGGGGACAACGCTAGCATACAGCTGCCAGACGTCACCCACCCACCGTCAATATTCATACAGCAATTTCGCATCTGCTGCCCAGCACGTCTGTAGGCGTCTCAGGCCGTCGCGCCGCGCCTCGCTCTCGCTCGCTCCCCCCGCCCTCGCCCGGCCGCCTCTCTGGTCGCTTCGCCTCGCCTCGCCCAGCGCGCTCTGATCAGCATCGCATCGCCTCTGCCGCCGCCGACAGCCGACACCGAACAAACACCGGCGGCGCCGAGCGGGCGTCACGCGCGGCCGCGCGCGCCGCCGTCGCCGCCGCCGCCGCGGCAGTCCGGGCGCGCCGCGCACGCCGACAGCACGGCGCGCGGCGTACACGTGGCGCACGGGCCAGCACGTGACCGTGGCGGCCGCGCGGCGGCCGCGGCGGGCCGGCGGGGGTCTAACGAGTGTGGGGCGCGTGACGATGAACCCGGCGCACCAGGAGAAGACGATGCTCGCTGGCGCCGGGACGGCCGTTGACGTGAACAAGTGTGTGTTGAACCTGGACGGATACTCGTACATGATTGGTAAGGAGACGTGGCGGTGCCGCACGTGGCGTGAGCCCGGGGCGGGCGCGGAGCCCTTTGAGTCAGCGGTTTCTGCGTGAACGCGATGTCCTGGGCGGAGGACGAAAGACATGCTTAGCAAAATGGAGGCGTTTTACGTCCTCAATGACGTACGGCGTTATCAGGCATCACTGCGGTAGCGAGCGACGGCCGTGTCACCCCGCCTCCCCCCCCCCCCGCCATTCGTGATATCGGGCTAGCCTGCGGTGTGTCAATGTCAGGACACTTAATCTGTTGTGATTTGTTCTGCCCTTCTGGTTCACATGTTATCAAAGTGTCATCGGCTTGGACATCCAGTTTTCCGGGTTATCGGCTACCAATAGCCTTAATAAATCACCTTGGTTTGACACGAGTAAGTTGGCCTCACATGACCTCTCGTGGTGTACTGGTGCAATCTCGCATGTTGTGGCAGACGCTAATTGGCAGGGAGTGAACCAGTTGTTGAGTTATATAAAATCAATTTAAAATAAAAGAAGAAAATAAGCTACAAACTATCGAATGTGGAGGCAGACGCACCGTGCAAACCCTCTCTGATTGCGCATAGCTCAATGACCTGACCTAAGGTGTTTAACCTGACGTTACGTTCCCACTCAAGTTGCCGCAATGTGGAAAATTGATCCTCTACCAGGTACTGAAAATTTGATGAGTCTTCCAGGCATGGTTCAGAAGTTAGTCCCGAAACTCCAGGGAGGGCTTTTATCCCCCAGGCTGTTGCGGGTTAACACCGGCTATGGTCGCACCGATAGGAGAGCTAAATTCTGCTTTTAGGTGCTGCTGAGCAAATTATGCTGCTAGAACGCACACATTGAACGTGCGTGACTGCCCGATAGATACATCGTGTGCCTTGAGGAGAACGTGATGAGAACGTGCTTCACATGCAGACGTGGGAATTTTTGTCGCCTTTTCATGCTGAGATCTTTGAATAAACGTTTTCGTTGGGATGAGGCTAAGCTAAGTATTTAGCATGTAAACAGCGCTCCCATTGGTGCAGAGTGGACTCGGAGTGGGTATCTGAGCCCACATCCGGGTGACCAGGGCCTGGATTCTGGAAGGTCCGTGCTGCAAAGGTAGAAATCCAGTATAGGGCAGCTGTGCGTTGACGTTAGCGGCATTGCCGACGGGACCAAAGAGGTTAGGAACAATCTTCCTGGGTTCCGAGCACTTCTTGTTTTCGGTGGTGTAATGGGCTCTTTGACGTGCTTTGCACTGCCACGATAAAGCCCAATGCAAATAGAGGAGTAAGCAAGCAAGCATTGGCAAGCAAGACGGACCCTGGGGTTCCGGAGAGGCTCAAATGGAACCTAATGAAGTCCCGAATTAAAGTTGATTGGTGTGCTCGCTTTCCATGTAGCAGGATGTTATTAGGGCTGCGGGAGAGGATCGAAAAATCGCTAGTCTTGTAGTCTTGAAAGGTGCTCCAAAGGGGCCTCCACTAAGGAGGTGGAGGGTTAACTGCAGGCCGTGTGGGCATGGACTATAATGCGTGCCTCCTATTTTTTGAGTCATGCATAATGCACGAACGTTTGTCATAGCTGCGATCTTCATATCGACAACCTTGCCCTCTTTGGTAGCCTTATATGCACGTTTCAAAGAGTGAGTACGGATTAGTGCTTGCTCTTGATAACGTGACGGTCATTTCACCTCCATGCATCGTGTCGCTGAAGATGCCAGCAAACTTACAAGTGGTGCTGTTGATATCGCCAGCCACACCGTTCAGCCTCTCATCTCTCCTTCCAGATGCCCCTCCGAGCGACACAGCCAACCAAAGACAACTTGCACACGAACATTGGCGTGTCCTTATGGATCGGCTGTTTTCAGGTCCTACCACCACTTTCATTGTCCACGCACGAAACATGTCGCTGGCGACCCATGGATAATTGCGTGCCGGCCAGAGATCAGTGCACACACCATGCAGTTGCAAAGCACTTCACGAAAGGTCAGGGTGATGACATTTGCTGGCCACGTTCATACACGTGTTGGATTTCCCTTCCGCGGAGTGGGTCCCGACCCTGACTCACAACATATGAGACGATTCTGGCTCTGGCTCAGAGCAACTTAGCGCGACGCAGAGTGGATTCCGATCCCGCTCCAAGAAACTGTGACTCATTTTTAGAATCAATGCCGGTGGAGTAGATCTCAGTGCCAATAATTCGGGTGTTGGTCTTCATGTAAGCCTAAATACGTATTTACATTGATCATCGCAGGGCAAGGCACAGCTATGATCAATGTTGTTCACATAAAAGCTGTCAGACAGCACCGTGTGCTGTCTACATTCGTATTTGAGTTGATTGATCATCGCGAACTCTGTTGACTCAAGCCCCGCTCTGTTTCATCAGGCCATTTTAAAGGAATCGATTCCTCACTGACTCAACGAGGACTTGTTGATGTCGAATCGATTCTGACTTCACCCGGAGTGAAGTCCAGGTCTGGCCATGATATCACCGAAATTTTTAGCACCGGGTCAATCAGGCTTTACCTACGTTTTCAAAAATCGTCGCACATGGTAGCAATCTATTCAGACACATCGTCGAAATCAACTTGCTCTACTATTCGCTGTCGCAGAACTTGACAAATGACACAGTAACATTGCGCGATATGGACCTGGATGGAGCTTTCCATACGGTTCGAGGCTCGAAGTGCTGTTTCTGAAGATCTACATGGAGCCAAAAAGGCAAGCAGTCAACCCGAAACTAAATGTGTCCCAGCACGCTTTTGACAAAACTCCTCATTTTCGGACGAGCGGCGGCCACGCTCTAGCTCCACCGGCAAACTCAGCTGGCTCTGAGTCCCAACGACAGATGACGAAATCAAGCAATGTAACTCCCAGGCGGGCACGGGGATGAATCAACCGCCAAGTGAATCAAAGTTGCACCATTGCGACGCGCGGGCTCGGAGATCGGCTGACCGTTTGCTGCCACGCGCGCCGCGGGAGTGTCGCACGAGGCGGGCGTTCCTAATTGTATGATCAGCTGGTGACCGCTCAATCCCGGGCCTGGCAGACTGCACCGGCGCCTGACGGGGGCCGTCCAGCTGACGGGAGCCGTCCAGCTGACGGGAGCCGTCCACGTCCGGCGGGAGGGGCTGGTGGCCGGGGGGGAGAGGGGTTCAGGGCGCGGACAGCGGTGTCGTCATGGGGCGAGCAGGGCGACCCGCCGTCACGTACCGCGCTGGGCGGACGGAAATCACAGCGCATAGACAGCGGGACGAACGTGCGGCAGGCGGGTCGATAGGAAATACCCGCCTTTAATCGATGCTGAGCGAGGTTTGGTGCGTTGGTGAAAACTATTCCGTGAGCTTGTGGTGGTGGAATCTTCAACGGTAATTGATTTTCTTCTTCAAGGGTCTCTTCAAAGAACATTCAGGGATGTTTGCGGAATTAAATTTGTTGTGCTTTATTCAACTTTGCTCAAAAAAGTTCAGCTTGTTTTGAAAGTAACGGACGAATGAACGAACGAAGAAAGAAGAAAACATAACGGTTAGCATGCTGTGTGCCACTCTCTTCTTTGCAGCCAAAGGTGGGACGCGCCGCTGTAATGGGTCACCGTAAATTCCATGCGTTTTCGCAACAGATGAACGGTGCACAAAAATCTGCACGACAGCCCAACAGAATACTGGAAGCAGGGGATGTCCAGGTGGAACATTCCACCACATTCTTGCCCACACAATCACTGCCGTGCACTCAATACAACTTGTGGGCCAATCAATCAACGTTATTCAAGAGGTCAGTGAAGTCAAAGTTTAATCAGTCTTTACCCGATAGCTAACAGCTATAGTTTAATTAGTTTCGGGACAATGCCAGAGGTCAATGTCAAACTATGGTCAACGAAAAAAGTATTCCTGCATTATTAAATGATGCTGCTTCAGCACGTGGGCGGAATCTTACATCCCCGCAAGTGGCGTTGGGGCAACCCTTCCTCCGCTGACGTCTCTGCTCCCCCCCCCCCCGCCCCCCGCTCCCGTTTTCGCGGCATGAACCTCAAATCCCCGAAACAGCCGCTAATAAAAATTACAATACGCAAAACTCTATATTGCATGAAAGTGCGATCTTCACCCGCTTGCAAATTAATCTTGTGAAGCTAGTATTGCTGGAGCATATGCACTTATATCATATGATTTCCAAGGCAGTCCCACCATCTTGCGGTCATGGAACAACAGGGCAGACTAATTAGCTGGCCGGTGTAGGGGCTTCAACGATTTACTGGAAAACACCCCAGCGCTCTCGCGTAAGTTCAAAATGATCTCGCTTATTGCCAGCCAACCACAGTTTAACAAAATATTCATTTCAAGGCACCAGTTTTTTAATCCCTGCCAAACATTTCTAGCCAAAAATCACTGATAAAGTTGAGTCGTTGAAACAGCTTTGAAACTTCTTTAACAGCTTTTTTAAAATTTCGCATCATAATCCTTCGTGGAAATGGTTCTCGGAAATGCTCGACATTTCAAGCATGGCGTATAATCCCGAGTGACTCATAATGCCGAAACACCAGGCGGCAAAAAAGCAGCCGTTATCACTTAGCTCCAGATTGAAGCTGCGAAGTGTCTGGCCTCTTGCACGCTGATGGCAGGTGGTTTGCGAAGGTGGCGTGTGGATCTCAGCTAATCAACTCCAGCCTTATGCTGGTCTTAGGATTGAACCAACGGAGAAAGGACGGCGGTGGTATAATGGTCACAGCTCTCGACTCCGGGCCTGTCGGTCTGGGGTTTGGGCCCTGGCCACGCCACCATAGCATCCTGCAGAGCTAATTGAGGCACTCGTCTCAAGATGGCCCGGACAGCCGGTGAGGCGTGAAACCCTAATCATGATTAAAGCCTGTTGAAAAATAACTAATTAATTCAAGGGACTGTTCCGCGTTTTAAGATACTGAGGCAAGCATCAGCTGTGATGAAAAGCTAACTTGTTACTATCGGTACGCTTTTAAGTGCAACAGGCGGCTCTAGATGATAGAATTTCGCTGATGAGC